GGTTTACTTATGGGTCTAGAAGCAAAAGAATATAACACATTTCTGACAACACCAGAAAGCAAGGTATGGGATGGCATCACTGATTGAGCTTCCACAGAGAAGGTAGTCCTGTTTAGACCTTGATTTCAAACTTTTGGCCTCCAAAACCACCTGGCAGCCACACACAGCTATAGTAATATGTTCAAACTTCATTTCTTTTCAAGTGCTGGAAATTGAACCCAAGGCCGTGAAGAAGTACTCTTCCACTGATCTGCACCCTGAGCCCTTGGGTTTTTTGGATAAGTCATCTCTGTGTAACTCACTCAGGCCTTGTACTCACCGAATGGCCACTGAACTGTGATCTTCCATATCCCTGATGCCAGGAAGACAAACATCACAGTGCTTGACTGCTTTGCCTTCATTAAATAGCAATGTAAAAATCCCAATACCCAGGAGTCTCTGGCCAAATAGAGGGGTTCCTGTCCTAAACAACTAAAGCCAGTGGAGTATGAATGAGGGATCCTGGGAGCCTTGGATAGTATTTGTAGATAATCTAACTTCCTTCTGAAATTTACCCCTGTCAAAAAACTTCAGTATTTAAATGTTTAGTTCTATCATTTATGTTTCCTAATCTATATCTATGAAAAATACTGTTACAAGTTGTTTGCCCCAGGAAAAATCTTCTGAGACTCAGAGCCTCCCATAGAACTATGTAAGGAGTGCACTCTGCAACCTTGGTGAACAACAAAAATGCAGAGTTGGTCAGGAAAGGAGTCAGCTCACACTGAAAATGCAACAGAGTCCCCAGATGATCCAACAGCAAGCTTAAAAGCTGATGGGTCTTTTAGAATTGTCCTAAAAGAGTCAAGGAGACTACGCCCTTGTTTCCAACCTATGCCTGCCACTGAATGTACCTAACATAGAAGAGCCAGGGTTTGGGGGAAAGCAGCCAGCAGCTTCCTTCAGATACAAGTGGTGCATGATGATGGACACAGCTATAAGACTTGAGGGGAAATGATAGGCTGAGACTAAAATAGGACCTAGAGTATGGTCTGTGGCATCTACCTTATACACAGAATAGTCTGACTGTCTATCTCCATCTGTTATGAGAATGTGACCATGGGAGATTCCACACCTGGACCAAATTGCCTTATTCTTGGAACAAATCCATTAGGTGCTCTCAAATCATGTATATAGTGACAGGTCCAAGAGATCTCAGCTCTGGTTTCTTGGCCTTACCCTCTCCCACCCACACACTTTCCATTTGCACATCCTGCAACAGTTCTCAAAATCTCCATTTATGGCTATGCTCACATTTGGACCACAGTCATTTTTATTAGTTACTTGGACATACAAGGTAATCATTTAACCACCATTTACAAATTTTGACCCATTTTCTCCATTTATTTATTCACTCATCATATATTTTAATAGTGATTCAATACTACACTAAGCACTGAGTATTTAAAAAGAAATCAAGACATTGTAAAAGTTTTTAGTATAATGCTAAATGACTGAATTTTACTTGGGAAAAAAGGACACTTGGATAGTGTTGTGAATTATTGTCCTCTGACCTATGACCATCTAATTAGGCCAGCTGTGATGGACCACACAAGACACTTCCAAGACCAGGCCCACTGGCAGCCCTTTTTAAAAATAGGAGGGTCTTCAGACCCTCCCCTGTGATTACAGCCTACTCTTTCCTCCTGTATGTAATTCTGCCTTAACTGACTGAAGTCTTGTGAGGTCGTAGAGTGCATGGTGGGTGAAAGTTCAACTAAAAGAGAACTCCAGCTGTGCAGGTGCTGTGAGGTTATTACCCATGCTGGAGTAGGAATTTTCAGTGGCACAAGCGTTTGCGACCACACAAGTCCCTCTAAGTAATGTCCCATGCATGATACTGCAAGTAATCAAGTAACATGCTCTTGGTTTCACCGCCATAAATGAGTGGAATTATTTTCCGCTGCTGGTAAGAGACATGGATGAATAGACTTTTTCCATATTCTCCAAGCAAAGGATATCCAATACATGGATGAATGGCCTTTAATAACACTTGAATAATTCAAAGTTGTGGAGAGGTACCTCAGTATATGCTGGAAAAATGAATCACATACATAGAGAGTCCACAACATAAAGCAGTTAATGCATGGGAAGGAGATTAAACACCAGTTAGTCACTCTTTGACCTCATTTGAGTCTCCCATCTTCTATTCTTGCTCTGAATAAGATCATGTTACCTTTTCACAAGTCCACAATGTTGCCAAGAAGCAAGTTCACAGCCTGCTTTAGTGGGAGGACTCAAGCAAACCTCCATTGCCTTTAGCAACCCATGAAACCCAGATGCATACCTTTGTATGTACAAGCACATGGTGTATGTGACCCCCAGTTCACAAATATTCAATAAAAAGCACACAGGTGCCCATATCAACTAGAAACTTTTAAAAACATGAGCTCCCAATGGTTGTAATATTCTGTTTTGTCATTCTCCGTTAGAAGATTTGAAAGCCTTAGGTGAGTCCCCAATAGAAAAAGTAATTCTCTCAGTAGGTGGAACTTCCAGATCCATAACACAAATTATGGATCTAATTATACAACTAGAGCAGAAACCATGTATCAAAGATATATAAGCAGGATATTTCTTTAAGACTATTCAACTATAGTCTGGATAATAGAAGAAAAAATATCATATTAATAACAATTATCTGAATGTAGAGGCTAATGCTCTTTAATGTAGCTCCAGCATAAATGTCACTGTAAGAAATGCTATTTCACTTCACTACTAACAAATCAGGTACTTTGTGCTGGGGGAGAAATGATTGGAACTGCTTTAAAGCCACGTTAACCAGAGAAACTGCAAAAATATTTATATTCTTATGAAGGAAGGAAGGAATACCTCTCATGGGTGTATTTAAGTATCCTCAATCTTTTGAATAAATGGTAATGCTAAACAAAAAAATGGAAAAATGACCTTAGAATAATAACCTCAAGACCCAACTGGGACTCAGCTTCCCAATGTAAAAAAAATCATTTGCAATATGTTCAGGGTAGAAATTTCTACACTGCTTCATAGCTCACAGACTTCATGATATTGCTCAAACAAAAATCACCCAAACACCCAACTCTAGGCTGGCTTCCTTCCCGTGACGTAGGCCCTCCCATATGTCAAATTACTCACCCGGCCCTGCTCAATGTCTGTAACTCTGCTCAGTGACTCCACAATTTGTTTGCAAGGACAGGAAAACAATGGGAAAGAGAAAACCAATCCATTCACAGAGGTGTTTCATATAGTGCCTGGGACCATGAAAGCAAAACCAGGTCTGGCCCAGTAGGGCTTTCTATAGAAAGTTCTCTCCCTATTCTTCCTTTAAGAGATCTCATACAAAGGCAACGTGAAAAATTTCACAGGATAGGTGTTGGGTCAGGGCCTGGAAGTTATCCCATTGGTTGAGTATCTTTCATCCTTTGTCATTTCTAACAGAAATTATATATGTTACACGGAAAATGGAGATGTAGAAAGGACCTGACCTGTGAGCCATTCTGTTTTCAAACAGCCAGAAAGGTCTTTGAGTGTCCAGTTAATTCATTGTGAATGGCATTGATATTTATGTGACTAGATGACATTAGGCTGAATTAATTCTTGGAGAAACTAAGTCAATGAAAGTTCACAATCAAATAAATCTGCAAAAAGGTTGCATGAGGTGTCTTTGAATGACTGCCCCTTTACATAAAAAGGCATACAGAAAAAAAGATAAAATCCTACATTCCAAAGGCCACAAGATCATAATATTCCAGGTTTATATTTTCTGATATCACATGGTTTTGAGTACCAGCCGAGTGAAAAGATTCCTGACAAAATCATCTCCAAGCATGCATGCATGTGCAGAACTGTGTATTGTCAGGAGAGGAAGTCTCATGAATGTCTTCATTTGATTGGGCAAACATGCACGTGAGTTAATGAGCTTCCAGGCCTTTTGACAAATGGAAGAGTGAGGTCTTTTGCTGCCTATGCAAAGATCCCAAATCTTTCTACTTTGCATCTCAATTAACATGAGCAAATTGGATCAATTTAGTCTAATAACATTAATCCAGAAACAAAGTAATTCTTTGAAGCAACTGTGTAGAATAATTAACTGACAAAATTAGTGAAACAAAATGAATGGCTCAATAGCCCTGTGTCAAAAATCTCTTTGGCCAGGTGGGAAGACAGGCAGATTTCATAACCTGCCAGTCCCTAAACTCCCTGAGATAGCTAACAGATTTCTACAAACTTGTGATAGATGCCAAGTGTTTCCGGGCTGCTCTAGGAGTGTCTCCAAACCAACGCCCAATGAGCTTTAGTGCTCGTGAGGTCCAGGCAGTCTTGGGGTTGAATAGAAGTCACCAAGGAGTAGTCTGTCAACTTGCCTAAGAAATTTTAAAAGAGTCTATTACCCTGGCAGTGTCACTGTGTCTCTTATTTATGCTTCTCTATGGGAGAGTGGGAAGAGCAGCCAGAGCAGTGCGCTGTAGCAGCTATCCAGCTGCTCATGCAGTTAATATAGCTGTAGAAAGGACATGATTTATATAGGAGTGTTTTCCCTCAACACTAGCACATGCGTCAAAAGAAAAACCCACTCATTCCAGTAGACTCATAGTGTATACTCACTCTGCTGTGCTCTAGTGACAGCAGGTAGCGGCTGGTTTACACTGGCACATAAAGCACACAACGCAGAAATGTTTTGATCAGACTGATAGACCTATACCCTCTATGATGTGCAGTTTGGTTATTGAAAAAGATAACAGATTTCCATGCATATAACAGCCATGACTGGTATTTCAGATCAGAGAGAGGCTCCCTGCTGGTTGCTAGTGAAGACAGTGATGGTAGCGCTGCATTAGAAGGCATGCACAGATTATTTCCAGGATCAACAGAGATGCTGCTGCAGGTAAAGATAATCATTGAAACAGCTCTTTGCAGCAAAGGAGGGAGGTCAGACCCAGCTGGGATCTTCCTATCCCTTGCAAAATGGAAAGACAGGTCTGCTATTGTTCCCTGTTTCTGTATTCTGCTGTTGAGCAGATAGCAAGGGGCCCTATAGTTTCACGTACCTGATAGGGGCCCTGGTTGCAGCCACAATAGCTGCTCTCCATGGTGTAGCTTCTGCAAACACCCATCTCTCTCCAAACCACTACCCGTGCCGTGGAGGCTCGTGACTTTTCCACCAGAAAGCTGCAGCTGTTCATGCTGAATGCTGGTGCTAGCTTGTCCAGTATTTTAGGAAGCATCTATCATTAAAAGAACAAATCACAATATAATATGGGTGATTAGGAATATTCATTATTTAAAATGGATTCTCAACATTTATTATTATTAACAATCACTATACATCAAACACATAGTTATGTTGCTCTGAATCACTAATCCTAATAAATGGATATAAATATATTTTTACCATTTTGCCTTTGCAAATTCTGAGGCTTAGAAATAAAGAAATAATTAACAATGAGATGATCAGAATGAAATCTAAAGGCCAACCTCGTCTGGGCAGCACCACGAATTTGGGATCCCCTTTTCTCAGTCACTGTGCACGTAGTTTCATACATTGCTAAGTTGAGGACTATGCATGTCAACGAGACCTGCAACTTCTATTGACTCCATCCAGTTCTATAGAGGACTGCAGCTTTAATCTCTGAGAGTCACTGATGGTCCTCACCCAAAGCACATCTGAAGTTCACTCATTTCCTGTGCAATCGCCCAGGTGAACTTTGTCATGGAATCCTCTGTGCCATAAATCTGAAGCTGAATCAATTATGAAACTCCTAAAACTCTATCCTCTCAGGGTTCACCTTTTCTAGGACTAAAACACTTTTACTTATGACCTTTTAATCTCCATTTAGAAGATATGTGTAATCTCCTGCCACTCCAATTGACCAAAAGGGGCTCCTAGCCACCAGATCTATCTCCAAGGAGATGATGACTCAGAGTTGATAGGACACACAGTCCTTGGGTCAGCAGAAACACTAAACATTGGCAGCATCAGACTTGAGCAGCATTAAAAGTACTTTTCACTTCAGTATTGACAGACTATGCACAAATAGTATATGATATAAAATTATGTATAATATATAACAAATAGTGAAAGTTCAGGCTTTTAGTCAAATTATAAGGAGAAAATAAAAATTATTCTGGTAGAAATATAGTTTTGGATATTTCTAGAATATTTAGCAAATCTTCATCCCTCATGTTTTTGTCCTCATATTTAATTTAATTTAATTATGTATTATCAATATATAGAATTATTTTATAAGTATATTACCAGAATTATTTATGTGACTTTTATAATCTCTAAGTTACCACAAAACCTCCAGGCCTAGAGATCTTTTTGAAAAGAAAAATTAAAATTAATATCATTCTTATTTGTATTTCTGCAACTGCCACCTAATTGGTAATTTAATATCCACTCATCTATCTCTCCAGGTAAATTCTAACTTTATTTGTTTCTTCAAAGTGTTCATCACAACGATAAATAAAATTTTAAATTATCATGTGAATGAGTTGTTTAGTTTACATTTCCTCTCTGTCTTGTAAGCTCTATGAAGACAGGTATCCATCTACCTTACAAGAAAATCAATCCGTACACACCAAGAAATGCTTATTACAGACAACACTTCATGATATTGCTTTCTGAAACAAATAGAGTCTTCTAATAGAGACATTTAGAGGACTGATTAAATATGCATGGATATACTATTGCTACAAATAAAACGATGGAAAATACTTTGAAATCATTTTAATTATTAGTGTTTTACTTTGTTAAAAAAGTTTATTCTTATTTAAATAATAGCTCATTGTACTGTAAAGCTATTTATTTTTGTATATTCGTATCATTAAAATGACTTCTTTTTTAAAAGACATGCTTAGTTTCATGGAAAAACAAAGAAGATGATACACAGACCTCCATACCCTGCTATAACATCTGCCACTGAAGCAGTCAATTTGTTTTGATTGAAAACATACACTAAGATGTCTTAGAAAGTACGTTCATTGACAGTTATCCAGTACTACAGTATCTCTATAGTTTCTCTGTCATAACAAATGCTTCTGCTCTACCCACCACCTTCCTTTTTCCCTAAATCTTGACAACAACTGATCTTTCACTGTCTTCAAAGTTCCGTCCTACTTAGACTGGCAATGCTCGGAACTATGCTACTTCACAGATTTACTTCAGACCTTGAGAACTACTCACTTAAAGTTGTTCCATATCTTCCAACTCATGACATCTTATTTCACCCTTTTACTCCATAATCATTCATTATTAATCTTCTGATTATCCAAATGTAGTTATTATAAATAAAGCTACCACAAATACCCTGTACAGGCTTTTCTGTGAGCATCTAAGTTTTAAGTTTCTTTACATAAATACCAAGCAGGCAGTAGTGGACTCAATAGCAATAATGTATCTAAAAAACCAGCAGTTCTATTCCAAAGTGGTTTAGATGACCACCAACAACGAAGCATCTCTGTAGCTCTAAGTCTTTCTCAAAATTTGGTGTCAGCATGCCAGGTTTTGGTTGCTTAGACAGGTGGCAATGATACCAGATTTTCAATCTTCTGTGCCCTGAGATATATAACAGAGAACATTCTTCAGGTGCTTTTCTGCTACCTGTGTATCATCTTCCGTGACTTCATTTCTCCTTGTTTTAATCTGAACTTTTTGTTTTCTCAATTTACAGATGAGAAGGGTTTTTCTTTTACATAACTTCTGAGAACTTACATAAACTCTGCTCTGGATGACTGTCCATAATATTGCTTTATCATATGCATTTTTCAATAATTTTCCCTATTCTTTTTCTTTCTGAGAGCCGAAGTAAACGTTTTATGAATTCCACCTTATTGATCTTTGTCTTAAGGATCATGCCACTGATGTTATATATAAAAAGTCATGGTGGCAGGGAGGGACACAATGCCAAGCTTGATTGCCAGGTCCATGGTCATCATCATCTATATATTCCCCTCATGTTATCCTATAGAAATTTTTATAATTTTCATTTTACACTTTGGTCAGTGTAATGAGTATGAGAACAGCCCCATATGCTCATGTATGTCCATAATTAGTCACCAAGGAGTAAAACTGTTGGAGAATGTTTAGAAGGATTAGGAAGTGTGACTTTCTTGGAGTAGGTGTGTCCTGTTGGAGGATGTGTGTCACTATCAGGTTTCAAAACCCCATGACAGTCAGTCCCCCCCCCCTGTCTCTCCTTGTCTCCTGCCTGTGGACCAGGATGTAAAGCTCTCAGCTACTGCTTCCGTACCATCTCTGCCTGCTGCCATACTCCCTACTATAATGGTAATAGGTTAATTATCTGAAACTTCAAGCCCCCAACTAAATGCTTTCTTCTAGGTATTTCCTTGGTCATGATATCTCTTTATAATAATAGAACACTAAGACAGTCATTAATCCACTTTGAGTTGAATGGTAAACATCTATGATTAGATTATTTTAATTTTGCAGTGAGATTTACTTTTCACTTTTCTTGATCCATTTATTGAAAATTCTATCCTTGCCATATTGTCTTACTCCTCTGTCAAAAATAAGTAACTATATTTATCTGGGTCTGTTTCTTGATACTACTCCCCCTATGGTTTACCCATCTAGTAATTTATCACTACCATCCTGTCTTGAATTCTATGACTTTGTGGTAAGCCTTAAAATGAGTCAGTGCCAGAATTCCAACTGTGTCTTACTCTTTGTATTTTCTCAGCTACTCTGGGTTGTCTCCAAAACAATTTGCTGATATTTTGATTGAAAATTCTATAGTTTATGATAGGGAGATCTGAAATCTTGACAACACCAAGTTTTCTGCCACAAATGTGAATGCTTTCCTAGTCTCTAGGTTTTCATTTATTTTGTTCATCAACTATTGAACAAGGTAGTAATGTAAGAGGTCTGTGTGTGTGTGTGTGTGTGTGTGTGTGTGTGTGTGTGTGTGTGTATGCATTAGTTTGTGGCTACAGAATCTTACTTTGTACACCAGGCTGTTCTTAACCTCCCTATGTAGACCATACTAGCCTCAAGCCCATTTCTCCTATACCAGTCTCCTGAGAGTAGGGATTACAGGCAAATCCTGTTTTCTCTGTCTAGAAATGGATTATTATTATTATTATTATTATTATTATTATTATTATTACTATTATTTCAAGACAGGGGTTCTCTGTGTAGCTCTGGCTGTCCTGGAACTCACTCTGTAGACCGGGCTGGCCTCAAACTCAGAGCTCCACATGACTCTGCCTCCAGAGTACTGGAATTAAAGGTATGTAACACCACTGACTGGCTTAGTATTGAGTTTTTACATCTAAAATCCATTTGTTGAATGCTAACTTGCAGGAAAACAACAGCATTTTGTATGCCACCCTTGTACGTTGCCATATTCCGACTGACAATTATTCAATGAGCATGGTTTTATTTGCATGCTTTGTCTTGAAGCATTGCTAAAATTTTCAGCATGATGCTGAAATGAAGGAACATTCTTTCTGGACTTCTTTTCCTTGAATAGAGAGGAAACTTTCTGTTTCTAAACATTAAAGGTGCATGTTAACTGTACAGAATTTGTAAAATATTCCTTGTCAAGTTAAGAACAGGGACTCAAATGCTATGGAGGAAAAGATATTAGTTTTTTTCTTATTATTATTTTAATTTTAAATTATCGCGGTAATCGAGGCTATATAGGGAAAAACAATATATTTATTTATCAGGGAGAGAGAGAGTCGCACATACCAGGAGTTAGAAGCGTGGCTGGCTTCCAGGAAAAAAAGAGGGAGGCCCCTTTTCCTTTCACTACCTTTTATCTCTACCTTGACCCCGCCCTGTTGGGCGGGTAGCTTTGTGGGGTTCACTCCTACATAAATAGCTTGTTTTACATGTCAATCCCAGTTCCCTCTCCCTCCCCTCCTCCCGCAACCCCCCACCATCCCCCCCCCAGCCTCCCAACCTATCGCCATTTCCTTCCACATAGGGAATATATAGAGTCTGTCATTTCACTCAGGGCAGGGTCCAGGCACTCCCCTAAGAGTCCAGGCTGAGAGAACATCCCTCTTTGTGTTATGGACACACTAAATCTGTTTGTATGCCAGGGATAAACACTGATCCACTTCTCAGGGCCCCATGGGTTGCCTAGGCCTCCTCACTGACTCTCACGTTCAGGGGGTCTGGATCAGTCCCATGCTGGCCTCCCAGCTGTTGGTCTGGGGTCTAAGAGCTCTCCCCTGTTCAGATCAGCTGGCTCTG